TTCCTAGCTGTCCATGGTACCCTCAATACTCTTCTCCAGCACCACAGTTCAAAGGCATCAATTCTCCTTCTATCCCCCCTAGTCGTTGTACAATTCTCTGATGCATAACAAGGATTGCAAAGGCCATGGCCTGTATCAGACGCACCTTAGTCTCCAGAGAGACACCATTGCTCTTTAGTACTTTAGAGAGGTCCCTAACAGCAGACTTTACTATGGCAATACATCTTTTAATTTCCTGGCTACTGGTGCCAAGAGTGTTGACTGCGGAGCCAAGGAAACTAAAGCTGTGAACAATTTCAATCTCTTCACTTAGGATCTTACTTTATTTTCTTCTAGATGTTGTGGGGCTTGTTTGCTGTTCTTTTTCTATTTGTGGAAGTGTAGTGTTAAATAGTCAACTTTCATCCTTTTCTTTCCTCTTGATGTGTTTGCTTATTGCTATGAATTGAACTCTAGCTACTGCTTTTGCTGTATCCTAGAAGTTTTGGTTAGTTTTATTTTCATTCTCATTTGTTTCAGGAAACATTTATATTTCTTTTACTACTTTGGGCATGTTTCCAGGAGATACTAATCCTTGGAGAAAGACACCATGCTTGGAAAGGTGGAGGAACAACACAGGAGAGGAAGATGCAGGATGAGATGGATTGACACAGTAACTGAGATAATGAGGGTAGATGTGTTGGAGACTGAGATTGGCTCAGGATATGGCAGGCTTCAGAGCTATTCAGAGGCTCACTATGTGTCTCAGGTGACTCTATGTCATGTAGCAACTACAACTATCCAATCATATTTAAGCAGGATGTTATTTAGGTTCCAGGTGCATGTTTTTTTTTTCTTTTATCCTTTATCCTCTTGGGGTTGATTTCTAATTTTATTGCACTGTGGTCTGGAAAAATGCTTTGTGGTATTTCCGTGTGTTTTAATTTGTAGAGGCTTGCTTTGTGACATGATATGATTTGTGATATGATCTATTCTGGAAAATGCTCCATGTGTACTGCAGAAAAATGTATATTGAATTTTTTTAGGGTTTATTTCCCTATACATGTCCATGAGTTCATGTTGTTTAATCATATTATTAATTTCTTCTGTGTATTTGTTGAGTTTTTTTCTAGTTGTCCCATCTTTCATTGACAGTGGTGTGTGGAAGTCTCCTATTACTATCATAGTGTCATCTATTATTTTTTTTTCAGGTCTCTTAATGGTTGTCTTGTGCATTTTCAGCTGTATCATTTAGTTCATACATATTTATTATGTTTATTTTTTTCTTGCTCTATTAACCCTGTATGGTGCTTTTTCCATGATACTTTTAGTATACTATGCTTGTTTTTTATTTACAAAATTTGGCTGTGATATGTCTTGATGTTTTTTCTTTTAGCGTCTAATTTATATAGTGTTAGCTGAGCTTCTTGAATGTGTATTTAGTTGCTTTTCATGGAACCTGAATTTTTTTCCCCCCTAATGCCTTTTCCACAATTTTTCAGTACTTCTCCCTCTTCCCCTCAATTCTGGAATTCCAATCACACATATGTTGTTTTATTTGATGCTGACCCATATGATTTCTAATGTTTTCTTCTGTCTTTTCTCAGATATTTGTCCATTTTTATTATTGAAGTTCTTGTCTTCTGCCTCACTGATTCTCTATTCTATCTCTTCTATTCTGCTTTTTTGTATCTCTAACATGTTGAAAATTTCTACCAAGTCAGTCTTATTATTCTATATTGCATTTCTATATTTTCCTGTTGCTTCAACTATTATATTGTTTATACTCATTTTCTTGTGATGATTTTTAAAAATTTCTATACTTTTTTATTTACAATTTCAACTCTTTGTCTTCTATCATTTATAACTTTTTTTAGTACCAGTTAGAATTGCATGTTGCCTTCCCGTCTCAGATATTCATTAGATATATGATTTTGTCTGATTTTTAAGGGGAAGTCTTGCTTCATTTTGTTTGGATGGGAGGGACTGTTTCTACCCTGAGCAGAAAAACATAGGAAGCTGAGAAAGTCCCAGGAATGCTCCTCAGGTCTCAGGGGCCAGTTGGTATTAGGATGTGCTTTCCTTGCTGCTAGATTATCAAAGCAGTCTGCAGTGTTCTCCCTCTTTACTGGCTACTTCTTAATGTGAATAGGTGGTTGCAGGTGGGGAAGATTCATGGGGTTCCACAAAGCACTTCCTCACAGCTGGCTTATCAGGGTGGCCCACATGATGCTCCACTGTCACTGGCTGAAGCAGTGTGGGCTAAAAAAAATAAAATATGAGTTTTAAAAAAGATAATGGGAAACTATTGAAAAATTTTAAGCATCAAAAGAGAGACATACTCGAATTTTACGCTGAAAAATATAAGTCTGGCTGTGGTGTGATAATAGACTGAATCAGAGCATGAGTTACATAAACACTGAGATTACTTAGAAACTGACGAGCAGCAGTTGTAAGGAGATGGTAGTTTAAATAAACATGATGTCGAAGAGGAGGAAGAATGAAGAGAGATATGAGAATTATTTATGAGAGAATCGGGAACTGATGAATACAAGAGGGAAATTCTGATATCAAAGATGACCAATTGGTTTATGCAGCATATAATTGGTGTTAATCAAGATTAGCCATAAACATGAATTTCAGGAGGAAATAAAAATGGGTGTAGTAAATCTAGATGTTTCTGTAATTAGAAATATGATATTGGTGGTTGCAATAAGTGTCTGAAACTCCAAGTAGTTATACAGACAGGAAATACAAATCTGGAAGTCTTCAGCCCATGGAAAAAAGGGTTACATTAGTTTTAAAAATAAATGAAAATACATCTTTTCCTAAATAAATTTCCATTTATCTTTCTCTATAGGGAAAGAATAAATTGTTTTGAACTCCTGTTGCTGTTGTTGTTAAGTGGCATTAAATTGAGTATATGACTCTATGACTATAGAGTGACTCTATGAACAGTAGATCTGACCCTATCCTACCCTGTGCCCTATCATCATCACTAGACTTCACTGTTACAATCACTGTGTCAATCCATCTTATTGAAGGTCTTCCCCTCTTTTGCGAACCCTCTACCTTTCCATGAATGATGTTCTTTTATAAGGCCTGGACTCTCCTAGCAACATGTCCAAAATATGGCAGATGAAGTTTCTATCTTGGAACAGTATATTGATAGAGAACTGTCAGAAATACAAGCTGGGTTTAGAAGAGGTCGTAGCACTAGAGACATTGTCACCAATGGCAGATGGATTTTGGCAGGAAACAAAGAGTACTAAAGGGATATCTATCTGTGTTTCATTGACTATGTAAAGATATTAAACTGTGTGGATCACAACAAATTGTGGTTGATCTGGAAGAATGGAAATCCCAGACTACTTGATAGTGCATATGCAAAACCTATATTGGACCAGGAAGCATTCCTCAGATCAAAGCATGGTTCAAAATCAGGAAGGGAGTGCATATGGATTTGTCCTGCCTCCATACCTTTTCAATCTATATACAGAGCAAATTATTAGGGAGGCTGGGCTTTATGAGGAGGAATGTGGCATCAGCACTGGAGGAAGACTTATCAATAATCTATGTTATGCAGATGATACAACCTTGCTTCCCCAAACTTAGGAGGACCTGAAGTGCTTGCTGCAGAAGGTCAAGGACTGTAGTTTTCAATATGGGTTGAAGCTCAACATCAAACAGACAAAGATTTTCACCATTGGGCCAACTGATAACACCATGGCCGATGGAAAAGAGATCGAGGTTGTTAACAGTTACAACTTACTCAGCTCCATAATCAACACTCTTGGCACCAGCAGTAAGGAAATCAAAAGACAAATTGCACTAGTTAAATTTACTGTTAGGGACCTTTCTAGATATTAAGGAGCAATGATGTCAATCTAGAGACTAAGATGTGCCCGATCCAGTCCATGTTCTTCACAATTACTTGCTATGTATTAGAGAGCTGGACAATGACTAAGGAAGCCAGAAGAATTGATGTCTTTGAGTTGTGGTACAGGAGAAAAGTCTTGAACATACCATGGACCACAAAAAAAGCTACAACAGTTCCATGATGCATCTTCAAGGATATGAACATGTATGGCTAAGCACAATTGATAACAGTACATCTAAATTCCAAAATCAATCTCCACAATAATCTACATGTTTTGTATTGCCAAAGGGGCCCTTTAGAGTAGTGAGAGAAGATCTTTACCCTGAAACCTACAGCATCCCTTTTCAGCAGGAAGTAGCTAAGAGAATAAGCTGTCCCCCTTTCCTTATGAATCAGGGTGAAATATCTCTCAGGGAGGAGTGATAGGGAATGGCAAAGGACACACTGACAAAGGAGATTAATCAGAACTGGTTTTGACAAGCACAGTAGCAATGGAACAATTAAAATAGACTTTCAAGAAATATTCAACCTGAATCCTTCTGATCATAATGGAGATTTTTGAAAGTATTTCTTTGAGTTTATTATGTTTAATTTATTTGTTTTGTTTGTGTATAAAGGATGCTCATCTAGGTGCTAACATAATTATGATAAAAACAAAAGGGGGAAAATATGGGAAGCCAATACTAAATATTTGTAATAAATTGAATGCCATTAAAAAAATAGGTCTGTCTTGGAGAGGTTTTCCAAGTTTTTCCTTGGAAGCTAGGAATTTGAAGTTCCATCTTGCATATTTTGCACAGGTGGCCAGGAAGGTCTGGTCCTTGGAGAAGGACGTCATTCTTGGAAAGGTGGAGGGACAGCTCAGGAGAGGAAGATCCCAGATGAGATGAATTGAAACAGTAACTACAACAATAAGGGTAAGTGTGTCTGAGTCAGTGAGACTGGCTCAGGACAGGGAAGGCTTCAGAACTATTACACATAGGGTCACTATGAATCTTAGGCAATTAAATGGCACATAACTGCACAACATCCTTGCCTCCCAAGGAGCACCCTGGCTGCACCTTTTCCAAGACATACTTGTTTGTACATTTGGTATTCCATGGAATATTCAACACTCTTCTCCAACTCCACAACTCAAAGGCATCAATTCTTCTGTCATCCTTATTCATTGCCCAACTCTAAATTGCATAGCAAGTGATCAAAAAGACCATGGCTTGAATTAGACTCATCTAAGTCTTCGAATAGACATCTTTGTTCTTTAGCACTTTAGAGAGATTCCTGACAGCTGACTTGCCCAATGCCATACATTTTTTGATTTCCTAAAATCAGCAGGTGGTGTCAAGTGACTAATTTCCTTCTGATGACTCTTTTTTTGGTGTGTTTTACTTCCTCAATGAGTAATAATAATAACAAACACTATATACTTTACAATTGGAAACAGGAGTGGCATCGACTTCATAAACAACATGCCTTTGGATACTTTATGAACTTTGAGAAATGATGATAATTAATTAGCTAATTAATGAATTAATTTTTAAGAAATGATGATAGTTATAGAAAGGCTTCATGCCTTTTGTTCATGGGATCACTATGAATCATGCCCAACTTGATGGCAATCAACAACAAGAACAACACACTTTACAAAATAAAAAAAATAGCAAGTTGTGTATATACATAGAGAACTTAACCCACATAATTATTCAAATGAGTTTCACAATGTTAGTGATTGACATTTATTTGTTATTTGACAAATCACACTAAAAGTGTGTTGATAAATTACTTTACCATTGATGACTTATAAAATTATGACTCTAAGTACTTTTACATTTCTCTCTAAGAGGACAAGAGAAAACCCTTCCCACCTTGGAAAGGGTGACTTTGGCTCTAGACTGAATTCAGTGACCTGGTATAACCTCAAAGTCTCAGTCTGTTCCTTAGCTTTTGGCGGGCCAGGGGCCTTCTCAGCTAATATAATGTGGCAAGCGCAATGTGTTTTATGAGAAATGCAATGTGGAAAGAACTCTAATTTTGTACAAGATGTAGCCAATTTTTTAACCACTCACCTTCTCAAATACTCTGCTTCAGGCAAATTAATTTATCAATATCTTGTATTTCCCAAGTATTTTTTGCATTCCCTGTCTAGGGACCAAGATGGAATTGGCAAGGTCTAATGGTCATAGTCTCGTGGGATCAGCTGTAGTCATCTGGAGGAAATACAAATACAAACAATTTAAGGGACAAGTTCAAATATGGTCCAGGAAAGAATTAGTGAAATAGAACCAGAGAAATAATATTAAATGTTTGATACTAGGGTAGAGTAGGATGTTGTAGACTGAAAATACAGCAAAAGATCAAACACGGAGATCAGTCGTAAGTGACCAATTAAGGGTAATATATGTATGTAGGCATGTATATATATATGTGTGTGTGTGT